CAATTGCCACCTGTGCTTCAGAAAAGCTCTGTCCATAAAGTCATGAACAGTAAAGTCAGTTTTTAGAAGCCATTATAAAAGAGACCAGGAGATAAAACTTGTCAATTACCAGATTGTTCTGCACCAGGAAGATCTCAATATGTATATATATTTTTTTTACCTACAAATCTTATTTCATTTTATTTATTATTTACATTCAATTAGCCAACATATAGTACATCATTAGTTTCAGATGTTAAATAATTTATCAGTTACATATTACACCCAGTGCTCATCACCTCACAAATGAAACTGGACCATTTTCTTACACCATACACAAAGATAAACTCAAAATGGATTAAAGACCTCAGTGTGAGACAGGAATCCATCAAAATCCTAGAGGAGAACATAGGCAGTAATCTCTTCGACATCAGCCACAGCAACTTCTTTCAAGACATGTCTCCAAAGGCAAGGGAAACAAAAGGAAAAATGAACTATTGGGACTTCCTCAAGATAAAAAGCTTCTGCACAGCAAAGGAAATAGTCAACAAAGCTAAGAGGCAACCCATGGAATGGCAGAAGATATTTGCAAATGACGTATCAGATAAAGGGGTGGTACCCCAGATCTATAAAGAACTTAAAAACTCAACACCTAGAAAACAAATAATCCAGTCAAGAAATGGGTGAAGACATGAACAGACATTTCTCCAAAGAAGACATACAAATGGCCAACAGACACATGAAAAAGTGCTCAGTGTCACTTGGCATCAGGGAAATATAAATGAAAACCACAAGGAGATACCACTTCACACCAGTCAGAATGGCTAAAATTAACAGGGAAGACCTCAATATTTGTTCAATTAACAGCTGTCAGCTTTGATTCAGGTTTCTCTCTTCTTTACATTTCTTGCAGCCCTACATCAAACACATGACAATGTTCACCTTTTTTTCACATTCCTCAAGTACCCTCAAAGTTTCTCTAGCCAAATTTAAAGAAAAAAAAAAAAAAACTCTCCAGCATTTAATATGTTCATTTTCCTTCAATTACGCACTAATTTTTGTCTTCAGGCTAACAACTCATGGCTGTCTTTCTCAGGCTGCTCTGTGATGCTACAGGGCTGCTTGCTGGCGAGGCAGGGATGGCAGAAGAATTCATCCTATGAGTTCCCTTCCACTTGACTCATGCCTTAGAATTCTGACTCCTTCTTCCAGCGGGGGCACTGTGTGACCAGGGCCTGTGCTGCAAAGAGGCCCTGCCTCACCCACTTGGTTTCTCAAGAAGAGATTTCCATCTGGGCTGCTCAAGCTCCTGAAGCGAGCAGGGTAAAACAAATAACGCCATTATTCTTTTAACTTTGTCTCTATACTTCAGCGCAATGATTTCAGGGAGACAGGACAAACAATCAGAAGGAAATAATTAGTATGGGTAACAGTGAATTTGAGAAGGTTATGATTATGATTATTATTATTTTGGAATTTGAGGAATATATAAATGAAGCAGTGTTGGTGAGATTTCACACCCTTTTTTATAATGCATACTGCTAAGCCTACACTAGCTTATGTTCTAGAGAAAATTTTAAAAGCTGAGTGATTTGAAAAGTAATATAATCTTAATTTGGGAATGTAAAAAATTGAAATATTTTATTTCTACATTTTCAATGTTGGCATAAGTTGATTCCATGTTGTATTTCATTTAAGAAGACTAACAAAATAGAGAGAAAACATCTGCATTTAAAATGAGGATCTGAGTCATGGAACTTGCAAATATTTTTGCTTTAAAAAAGCACTCTGATAAAGCAGGATTCATTGTTATAAAACTTCTAGTTTTTTTCCATGGACTATTCTATTTTTCCATGGACCCAACCAATGATTAATTTTTTTAAAGATTTATTTATTTATTTTGCGAGAGCTAGAGAAAGCAAGGGAGCAGGAGAAGGGGCAGAGGGAGAGGGAGACAGAATCTTAAGCAGACTCTTCACTGAGCACGGAGCCCAACACCAGGGCTCAATCCCACGACCCTGAGATCATGACCTGAGCTGAGATCAAGAGTTGGATGCTTAACTGACTGAGCCACCCAGGCGCCCCAATCATTAATTTTTTTGTCTCTAAAATAAGTAATAGGACAGTTGTGTAAAATACAGTTCTACTTAATAACCATTAAAACTTCTTTTTCTCTGTTAGTTTTTATGGAAGATGGTCTATTATTATTATCTCTAGAAACTTAACCTGATGTTTTCTGAAAGGCTACTACCTTCATGTAAATATAACTGGCCACGACTGTGTCGCACACATTCTCAGGACTCATTTCATTATCCTAGGAGCGGACTGATGGGACTGCAGGCGGCAGGTCCTTGCATCAGACCGTCTGCACCTGAATCCTGGCTCTGCCACTTGTGGAGGCTGTGACTCTCAACAGGTTAGTTAACATTTCTGTGCCTCAGTTTTGTCACCTGTAAAGCGGGAATGGAGATTACATCTACTCATAAGCTTGTTGTGAGAATTTAACAAATTGATATGTTTCCAATACTTAGAACACTGCCTGGTATGGAGGAAGTGCCCCTCAAGTTTTACTAATCTTTGACCCACTTTGATTTTTCTTCCAGCCTTGTAAGTTCAAAGCTGCTTACCAATTTAGGATCGATTTCTTCATTAAGAACAGCTTCATTCTTTATGAGCGCCACTCGTTGTGCAAATCTACAGGTAGATATCGACTCCTATAAAGCAAAATAACTCCTTAAAATGTTATGGCTTAGAGAGACAAACCTTAATTTTTGTTCACAGAAGAAAGAAGCACATCTAAAGAGTGATGTGTATAAAACACAATGAGGGAACATACCACCAAATTAGGAAGCTTTGTTCCAGAACATCAGTTTTATTAAAATTTTATTTTGGCCTAATAAAATGATCCATGCCAAATGTGGGAGATCATGAGGTCCTACGTGGCGACTGTATGTAGTTTTCAACTACTGATCTATGAAACCAGAGCCACATATATGTATGTCATAATCATAGCAGACAGTATTATAATCCACAAACCTGAATGACTACAAAATAAACATTTGTAACAGGCCAGAAAGAGGCTTTGCGAGACATCTTAGAATGCACTTAGGGATTGGCCTCGTTTTAGAAGACACCCTGCCGCTTCTTATTTTCCTCTTCTGGAGAAAGTCTGGATCCCAAGCATTAGACTGTGATGCATAAAACATGAAGCTGAGTCTAAAGCAACCCAGGAAAGCCAGTCAGTAGCCAGCCCTTGACAAAGCATCCTGTGTGCTGCACTCAGTGACAGGTCTAGGGACACATCCTAGAGATGCCTCCAACGTATCTTAGTAATCAGGAGCTAAACAGAACAGAAGCTAATGGGTCTCCTCTCTCATGTCCTCTGGCCAAGATAACTAACCCAGCAGCAGGCTTTCCAAAATTTGTGTCTGAGCCTTCTTCCCACCATCCTGGGCTGTGTGAAGTCCATTCTCAAATGGGGGTAATTATAATGCTGGCAAACCAGCCAAAGCTGTGAACTCTGTAGGGTGTTTACATCTCAAAGCATACCCCAACCCAGCTGAAAAGATGGAAACCCACCCAGGACCCTCAACACCATCTCATAAACTAGCAACAGAAACTCAGACTGAGATCTCCAGAAAGAACCAACATACGTCGATATTCCTTTTCTCTAAAGAGAGTGTTGCGATCATGGTCGTCATGCAGTTCCCTCCCAAACTGTCTCTTAGGACACTGGTCATCATGGAGTTCCTGTAGGGAATGTGTGCACGGTGTTTTTCGGAAAGAGCAATGATCACCTGTGGCGTGGTAGAAAAATAATGGTATTAGGTTAGCAGACAATGCACATCTGGAGCTCAGCTAAGCTGCAACTGCAGTGAAAATTCAAACAGAAATCATAACTGAATGCAGGGTGACATCTAAAACTTGGGCTCAAAACTGATGTTCTGGAACAAAGCTTCCTAATTTGGAGGTAAGTTCCCTCACTTAACATGATTTGGTACAATAATGGTAGAGATGGAGGGAAGTAAACTTAGCAAAAACATACCACCATGAACGCTGTAATTTTTGGACAGATCATGTAACTTGGCAGAGAATAGGATACATTATTATCTTGTCTTCAGCCATTGGAAAATTCATGTAAAATTCAAGAGGAAATCATGCCAGAGTTTTAAAATCTTACCAAAATTGATCTCTATGACCCATCTTCAAGGCAGAAGAGGCAGAGCACTAAATAAGAACTATGAGAGACAGCAGGGGTTAGTGTGGAGACCCAAGAATCTGGTACCACATTGTCCAGGTCCAAATTCTAGCCTTCCTAGGACATGTCACTCAACATCTCTGCCTCAGTGTCCTCAATTGTAAAACAGAGAAAAGATAACATCTACCTCGTAGGGAGTTGGGATGACTGAGAGTTAAAATGCACAAATTACTTTGAGAAGTACCTAGCTCAGTGCTGTATACATGTTTGCTACCATTCTAAGTGAAGGGGCAAGTTTATGTTGGTTCAACTAAGGCTTGCTCATCTTACTTTTCACTTAATAGGAAGGTACTAGCTGGATGAAAGGCTGCTGTGGAGTTGTCCCCAAAGGGAGCCACCAGGGGTTCACGGTTTTCCTAGGAAGATGAACCCAGTGCTAGGATGTCCATCCCAAGTATGAGGAATAAGACACCCACAGATGTGATTTCAGAGGCATCCCAAGGACCCGACTTTTGAGAACACCTACCATTGTTCTAACCTTCCCTCCCTTCAGGTGTGTAATCCCCACCATCAGAACTTCTTCTACTCCCTTGGTTTATAAAACAAGGTTGTTTTCAAAGGCTGTTTGGGGCAAAACACACAATACCACTGGTCCTGCTTCAAATTCATGACCACAGATTTTATTATAAACCAGATATCCTGTGATAATTTCTCTCAAAAATTACTTCTCCACTCCAGGAATGAGGCTTTCACATCTTATCCTTTTGTTTCAGACCTCCACCCAGCCTCCTTTCCCTGCTTTTAGTCTTAGCTGATGGCCACACACCCTTCCATTAGATGTGAGCAGCCTGACCAGAACCATCTCCTGTCCTATCACTAAATGCCCCACACACTCTGCCCTTCCTGTGTCACCAAACTGCTCCTTCTAAGGCCAGCCCCTCATTCTCTCCTTCTCCTCTCACTTACCTTACTCCTAAAATTATCCCTTTTCTTCTGCATCAATTTCTCTCTCTCACTTGGATCATTCCCACCCTGCCTGCCCACTAGTCTAAAAACTAGGATGGCTCTTGCCAAGGCTCAGCAACCCCTGTTGTACCCAAAGCATTTATTGTCATCTTATTAGACTTTTGAGTTGAGTAAGTATTCAACCCAGGTACTCACTGTCTCCTTTTGGAAACACTTTATTCATTGGTAACCAGGACACCACATTCCCCTGGTTTTCATCTTTCCTCAAACACTAGTTAATGAATGCTTCCTTTCCTTCTTCCTAAATTATAAACATTGGAGTGCCCCAGGGCTCAGTCCTTGATCCTCCTCTCTTTCTTATCTGCACTCTCTCTGTGGAATCTCATCCAATCCCCTGGCATTAAGTACATAGATATCCTGACATCTCCTCAACTGATATCATCAGCTTCCACCTGTTCCCTGAGCTGCTATCTCTGTGGCAACCCTAAATCTCCACTTGGATGTCTATTCTTGACCTTCTCACCCCTCTCCCCACAAATCTGATTCTTTTCCGGTCTTTACCCATCATTATTGATGACACCACCATCCACCTAGTGGCTCAGGCCAAAACCCTGGGCATCATCCTTATTTCCCCTCATTGGCAACATCTAATCCATCAGCGATTTCTATTAGTTTTACCTAAAAGACATGCCCAGAATTGGACCACTTTTCCCACTTTTTCTGTCACCATTCCAGGTCAAGCCTCCATCATCCCTTCCTTGGACTACACAAGGCTTTGACTCAGTCCTTGTTTCTCTTTTTGCCCACCCTCCCCCCTGCCCCGGTCTACTCTCCACAGAGAAATCTTTATAAAATATAAGTTACATCAAGTCACTTCCCTGCTTACAACCTTCCCGTAGCTTCCTGAAACACCATAATGACCCAACTCCTGCATGATCTGGTCCCTACCTATCTGTCCTCATCTTCTGTTGTGCTTTCATAGCCCACATTTGCCTTGCTGTTGCTCCACCATACCAAGATTGTCTCCACCCCTTTGAATTTGTTGTTCTTTTTATCTAGAATGTTGCCCAGATTTTCAGATAGCTTCCTGTTTCACATCATTCAAATTTTTGCTCAAATCTTGTCTCCTCACAAGGGCTTTCACTGAACACCTTGTCAAATGTAACATACCTATCTCCAGGTTTTTAATCTATTTCATTTTTCTTCCTGTTCTTATCACTATGTGACACTCTATTCATTTATTTACTTTTTTTAATTGGCTTCCTCACTTGGCTTTCAGCTTCATTAGGCCAGAGACTTTGTTTCTTCCATTCACAGTTCTACCCCACTGCCTAGAGCAGTGTCTGGTCCTCAGTCCATGGGGCAGAAACTACATCGTCTTATTACTCAGTTCTCAGGATAACCCCATTCTAGTTTCACTTACTATGAAGCAACACTTCCTAGTCTCTCTTACAACTCAACGTTCTACATGAGACCTAGCTCCATCAAAAGGACACTCGTGTGGGAGTGGGGCTGGGAGGGGAGTGATGAGAAGTGGTGGCCACAAAGAGGAAGATCAGATTTATAGGAGAGTGTGGTGATGAAGGCATCTGGTTCCTTTGAGGCAGCTGCAGGAACTTTCTGGAAGCCAGGACTTACTGTCCTGGGTGCCAAGGGAGGATAATGGTAATATTTCACAGAGCAGTTCAGTGGTGTGGTTAGATGTGTCTCTTGTTTGCTGTGCTCTGGGCTGGGTAGTATCCAAGCCCAGTTTTCTAACTTTTCTTGAAGTTCTTTATGTTTAATAAACTCTATGTTGCTTAAATTAGCTACAGTAGGTTTTCCAGTTTATGATTAAGAAATCTGACTAATACAACATGTGTTCAACAACTTTATGTGAAAGGAATAAATAAATGAGTAGATTAATTAGCTTCACCTAGGAAGACAGCACAAGGATCAATAGTATGGAATGAGATTTGGTGGAACTGAGTTTTGATGTAATTGGAAAGGAAGTGGGGAACATGGCAGACCCAAATCTGAGTGGCAAGGTGGTAGCAGGGGATGCTGAGTAGAACTCCAGACCCTCAGAACCAAGTGGACAAATGAAATACCTCTAGCAATCAAGGCAGGCCCAAATGCCAAACACCAGACCAAACGGGTTGGTCTGACAGATGTGTGAGAGGGTGGCATTACTGTTTATGGATCATAATTAAGTATCTGACAATGTTCTAAGTACTTTGAAATCCTTGCATAAAACAAATGTCACTATTTTTTTTTTCCTGCTCCAGGAAACAATCTCTTCTATTCAACAGCTTTATGACAACTTAGATGACATAAAGGAGAATATGCTTATTAAACTTCATGATGGTATTAAATTCAATGGGGTTAGTTAATTTGCTATTGGCTGCAGTAACAGAAAATGTAGCCCAAACTGGATTTAATCATAAGGGAAATTTATTGGCCTATGTAACTATAATAGGAAAGGTTTTAGGTTACACATAACCCAAAAGGTCAGTGCTGCCACCAAGGATTTAGTTTTCGCCAATATCTCTGCTCTACCTTCTATGTTGTAGAAGTCTGCCTCTCTTCATGGCCACGGGATGGCTGCCAAATATCCTTATTTATAACTGATGTCAGAAAGTTCTCTAATCATTAAACATATATCCTGAGCTTCCCTAGGGACCAACTTGGGTCATGGGCCCATGTCTGAACCAATCACTACAGCCAAGGCTCCAACTGGCTTAGACTAGTCAAGGTCTACTCCTAGAGCTGGGATGGGTTCATGGCTGCTACTCTTGCAGTGAATGTTGTAAAGGCAATTCCAATGCCCTTTCCAGACAGGGTTCTAAAATGGTTCAAGAGAATAATTAAAATTCCAAATGCGATTATGGATTGGAAAGCATGGTCTTTAAAAATGGGGAAAATGAAAGCAGTGCATAATAAAAGAAAGAACCCAGGACTTAGAGGCAGAATCTAGCTGCCTTACTTGTGCAATTTTAGGCAGATCTCTTAAATTTATTAGTCTCTGTTTCCTCACCTGTAAAAGTGGGATTAGAATACCTGCCTATCTCACAGAAATGTTTTAAAGATGAATAGAGATTGTTTCTGGGATAGTAAAACAAAAAGCACTCCGTTTGCAGGGGTATCCAGGCTATGTTCTTTAGGATGCCTCTGGACACTTGTTACAGCCATATAAAACCAGTCCTGGGCTATTTCTCTACCAGAGAGCTCCGAACAGGCATCTTCTCAGCTCTAAAGGAGCATGGGAATATCAGAATAAGTCCAGACCCCTTGGAGAAGATACAGATCTTCAGAGTGACCCAGAAATGGCCAGTATTCTGGAAAGAGGCAAAGATGGATTATTCTTTATGGGGTTGCTTTGGGCTCTGTAAATTGGCCCGGAACCAAATGATCTGAACAGCACAGGCTAAGGAGATGGTTATACAACCTGGATTTTTTAAAAATGTTTATTCCCACTTGGGATTTCAAGTATAAATACAAAAAAAAAAAAAAATGTTCCTGAAGGCATTCTTTAAGCAACAAAGAGTAGAAACTCACATTATACTTAATAATATCTCGAAGTACCTAGAAACTATTCTTAAAATCAATCGATCAGATTACTATTCAATGAATTAAAGAGATTTTCTTTTAAAG